CAGACATCTTAAGAGAAAGACCCATTCTCCTTCTTAGCAGTTCATTTTCAGTCAGCTTAACATGGTGTCTCTAATATGGTTTAATCCAGCCTTCCACAATGTTAAGCCTTCCAGAGTAAAGACCATGCTAGAGGGGAATTCTGGAAGGACAGCATGTTGAAAAGGCATTGCACAGGAAGACATACCGAAAGTAGCTGCCTACATTGCATGTGATTTGTTTTTGTCTTAGCCCAATCACAACCCAGATTCTATTTACAACCCAGAAGTAGTTCGCTGTAGCTATTTTAGGAAAGCAGGTTATGAATCCATTCAGAGAGGACTGTAGGTGTGTATAAGAATAGACCAGAATACTTTTTTTGACCAAGTGTGATTAGACACATAAGGAACTTGTCTCCGGTGCAAAAGCTCTCAGTATACATGCAAAGCAATGGAGCAATCATCATCTTCATCATATCACCAGTAAATGGGGCTAGTAATGAAGATAAGAAGGATAATAATACTACAGCCATACAACATGAATAAATAGACAATAGATAGTACTGTGAGAATTGGGAGTTCAGCGGAGTGAGGGCATGAGGATAATACTGTCCCTGTGTCCTAGCTCTTTTGGCAGGCAATGCCTGGTAGCAGCGTCCCGAGGGGAGGAGTTGAAACAGTTTATTTCCAGGATGTAAGGCAGAGGTGGGCAACTATGGCCCCTTTATGACTTGTAGACTTCAACTCCCAAAATTCCTGAGCTAGCATGGCTTGCTCAGGAATTCTGGGAGTTGAAGTCCATAATTCATAAAAGGGCCATAGTTGCCCACCCCTGATGTAAGGGGTCTGTATTTTCTCAGCCCTCTTTCTGACCTGTGCAAAATACAGGTGCCTTGCTTGAGTGAAGGGGAAAAAATTCTACCTGAGAGCTTGAAAAGTTACCAGACCAGGAAAAAAATAATTCACCGCACCTCCTTTCACTTTGCTCAGTAGACCACGGAGAAAAGAAGGAAAATAGAGGAAGAAAAGAAGGATTCTGGGTTATTTCCTTTAAGGCTTGTTTTATTGTGTTACTGTATTGTTATAACTGAAATATATTTAAAGACAAGAGTTCATGGGAGCACCGCAGAATTACCTAGTTAAAAGAAAAGAGTTCAAACTTCTAATGGCCCTATTTAAAAGCCACAGATAAACATTATTTTGGTTCAGTCTATGTAATTATTTTTGGAACTTCAAAGATACAGCAATTAATTATGAAAAACCATACAGACTCTCATAAAATAAAAACCATACAGACTCTCATAAAATAAAAATCATGGTATGATTTAGGATCATGATCCACTTTGTACAATAAAAGCCACACATAAATATTTCCTTTGCAAACTGAACATGTCACATGAAAGATAAGTAAAAATGCTGTGGTGAACCTGATCCTTCTCCCCTCAACTTCATGTTCATTGTCTCACTGGTTGGGTTGACCGTGTTTAATGCATGTATGAGATGGCTGGGCAGGTAAGTGGATGGCCACTCTTAAAGGATGGAGTGATGTTCAAGCCTATAGGAACCTTTGACATTTTCTCACCTTCAAAGAAGCCTAGTGCCAAGGTGCAACATCATTCTCAGGGTATAACTGGGATTTAAACATTGTGCCCAACAACACAGGAGAAGCAAAAAATAATCTAGGCTTTCTCTGTTTTCAAGTCTTCTTCTTCCCAGCAATACAAAAGCAAAAGGATGTTTTTATTTGTTCTCTTAGTATCAGCATGAGCCACAGTGGCGCAGTAGTTAAGAGTGCAGTATTGCAGACTACTTCGGCTGCCTGCCGGCTGCCTGCAATTTAGCAGTTCAAATCCCACCAGGCTCAGGGTAGACTCAGCCTTCCATCCTTCTGAGGTGGGTAAAATGAGGACCCAGATTATTGGGGCAAGATGCTGACCCAGATTGTTAAGGGCAATATGCTTAGAGAGGGCTGTAAGGCACTGTAAAGTGGTATATAAGTCTGCTATTGCTATCCTGCCCAACTTTGGGGCAGAAAAAAATATTTTAAGGATTTTCAGCCCATACTTAATTTAAAAATAATAGCAGGAAAAGAAGAATTTTCTCCAAGGATCACATACATGGATACATGTTCCTTTATCTCCTGGTCTCATCATGTACCTTCTATGAGTGCCGAGTTTAATTTAATGTTATCCAAGGCTGTTGGGATCCAGTTTGGTGTAGTGATTAGGGAATCAAGCTAGAAACTGGGAGATTGTGAATTCCAGTCCCACCTCAGGGACAAAGCTGGGTGACTTGGGGCCAGACAGACCCTCTCTCTCAGTCCTAGGAAACAGGCAATGGCAAACCACTTCTGAAATCTTGCCAAGAAAACTTGTCCAGGCAGTCCCCAAGAGCCAAAACTGACTCAAATTTCCAAGGCTGTTAGCTATGTTAGTTGAGAAAAATATGAGCAATACAACACATATAGAGAAAACTAAGCTGATCTATCATGTTTTACCAATTAAGAAAAGGTTTGTCCCCAAATCTCTTCCACATACCAGGTTGTCTTCTTCGCAGTCTTTCCATTCTTGATAGAGGTCTCGCATATCTACCAACCGGTTCTCCAGTTTCTCCAGGGACCAGATTTGTTTGCCTTTCCCTTTTCGTCTCACCTGAATGGCTGGCTCACTAAGTATTGCACCCCGCTACAAAACACCCAGAAGGAAGAAGAAATGCAAGGAGGGGGGGAGAGATGGAGGAAGG